TCAAGTGCCGTCTAAAACTTCAACCAGGCCACAACTCCGCGTCGTCAGCCAACGCCCAACCACTGCTTCCCAAGACGGAACTTCCAGCCAATCAGCAACCGCGGGAACCCCCCCCTGTTCTGCAAGGACCACGACAAAGGGAACCCCCGTACAGGCAACGCAACGCAAGTACCTCCAGATTCTAGCTGAACTGGTATAAATTTTAAAAATTTTAACCTAATTGAGGAACTCAATGCGAGGGTTAATTACGTGATTGATGGTTGTTCCAATTGCACATGAAACCGAATCAGAAGTAGAAAAAACAACAACAACAACAACAAAAAACCTGACCTTGAATAACAAGGTCATAAAACCGTCATTAATATCATTTTCAGAACAAGCACATATCACTACGTTTAACAAAGTAACAAAATGACAATCTCATTTTTCAAATGAACACAAGCATAAATGTATCACATGTGGTCTTGCAACATACATTCACGATTCATAAATGAACTCAATTACAGCATCCTTTTTCACATTTCACTTATGTGAACCTTTTACACAGATTAACACATGAAATAACATTGTTAACTCACCAAGACCACGGATGAGATTGACCGTTTTAATCCCTTGTAGCTCCAACGATCTCAGTTTCCACTCGGTCTTTCACTCATAAACTTCATGAAATTAATTTCCAATCGAAAACGTCTTTTGCTTCTGTATGAAACACTTTTAATTATTGGATAACACACCATATGTGTTAAACGAGGCCTCCTCTCTGCAATCGCGTGATACCAAAACGACTTAGTCTCTTTTTACATCAACTTTTCTTCTAGTCTCAATACAGTCTCTCTGGCGAATATCGCTTGGTTTTTAATCAAATATTTCTACTTGATTAATCAAATTCTTACATTTTAATAGGAGAGACCTGAAAAAAAAAAGTGCTATCCAACATTCTCACTCGTAATTGGTCAGTTCTTCAATATACAATATACTCCTATTGGCCGTTTCAGAGCTCATGAAAATAACTACTCCCAGCTCAGTTGAGTGTTGGTAACCTAGGTTACAAGTGGCACTGGACACATTTTTTGTCTTTAAGTTAGTTATATCATCATTGGCTTTTATTATTTTTAGTCTACAAAAGTAATAAAACAATCTAATATTAAACAAAATGTGGTGTAAATGTAAAGAGGTGACCAAAGTCATTTTTGAAGTTAAGACTGTATATTGTAAATTCTATTGTTCACATGATAAGAGATAGTCATTTATAACTTACCCAATCCTTCAGAGTCTAAAGCTGAGAGCCAGAGTAATATAGCATATTTTGAACTCACCTGTGCACAGTTCAGTACCTGCCTCTGTCACAGCATTTTGGCAGCTCTGTTCCTGGAGCATGAAGCTATTTTTACCTGTCACTCTTGTGTGACTGGAATCTCTCAATCAGAACCTCTGTAATCAAGAAAAATATTTGCCATACAATCAAGAATGAATAAAAATGGCAAACAGTAATTACTTTAAATCTTAAATGAGGAGTGATGGAAAGCACACTGTTGAAATGGCTAGACGTTTACTCAATACAGAATGAAGTTAATTCTGTTATGGTGAATTATTAGCAATAAGTCCATTTAGTCCTGACAATAATTCTATACAGTATTGATCAGTGCTTCAGGAAGATTGTAATCGTGCAGCACTAATGCCCTATAATTTTTGACAAATGTCCAGCAGTTTGTGGTAGGCCCCTCCCACTTGGTTACTGTTGCTAGGCTTGACAAGATTTTCCATTATCCAAATGCACATAATTTATAATAGACTTATAACAGACAATAAGGCAGATGTTTTTAAGGCGGGGATAAGTGAAAAGTTGTGTGACATCACTGGTTGCTTTTCCTCCATTGTATGTGTGCAGGGTAAACATTTGAATTTGAGTATGTTAAATTTAGGCGAAAATACCAAAAAACGCCCCGAGCTTAAGTGGTTTTAACAATCTGTTGTCATTCATAAAATTGCGCTAGGCATACTTGACTACAGTCTTGAGTGTTTTTTCTCGCTTTTTATGCTTCTCTCTCTGATTTGGCTTCTCCTCTGTGTTTGTATAGCCTGTATACAGATGGCATAGTATTTTTTGCGGCACATACTGTCAATGTCCTCAATAAGATTATTCACAGAAATTGATCAGATGCTGCTCAGTCAGTTGAGGCCACATAAAATTAGTCACAAGATGGGCATTTAGCACATCTTTTTCTCCATTTGACACAATATGCTTACATCAGAACCTTTTACATTATTCTAAGTAGGTTAGAAATCTATTCATAGACATGTAAGTGACCAATGGAGGTTTTTAGGTCAAACAGGCATTTCTAATAAGATCTAGATGAAGGTTATTCAATTAACGCTTTAGTCAAATGAGGTGTTCCATCCTTAATGGAGGCATAATGAAAGACAGAATGTATTAAGCTATTGCTTCATTTCAAGCTTTCAATAAACTGACCACATGACAGGTTAGCATCTTTACACAGTGATAATTTTATAGGATTTTAAGAATTTCACTGTCAGTGTTTGCTTATAGCTTGTTTGCAGTGGTCATATAGACAGTATTACTTGTATGTATTTTTAGTTCCCAATTGAAATTGGATTTTCAATTTAATTAAATTGATAATTTTATTATTACTATTATTTTATTGCTAAATGTACAAAACAAGACAGGGAACATCAAACATAGACACAAGGATGAACACAATAATATACACAAAATACCATGGTAAACAATATATAGATTTATAAATGTATTCAAAAAAATAAAAAACAAGGAGCAAGAAGTGAGGCAAATAGTTAACAGAGAAAGACATCAAATAAGAATACATTAAAATAATAAATAATAAAAAAATATATTTTGACAGAGCAACATAAAGTTTCAGGCGTTCTGCTTTGTTTTTAAAACATATTTTAAGC